AAGAACAGCCCACACAGCCATGGTAGAAATCTGACGCCCTGGCTCATAAGATTTCATTTGTATTCTTAATGTTGTGTTTTTAAAATGTTTTTACACTGCACAGTTGGCTCTCCAGTGATGTGATGCTTTTATTTTTGTGCGTGATAACATTAGGGCCGCCCATTGGCGCAGTGCTGCCTCACACTGCTGGGGTCCATTTTCTAACCGCTTCTTCACAGGGGAAGCTGAATCCTATCCCAGCGAGCAACTGGTACAAGGCAGGGACGCCAGTCCATCACATCGCACACACAGACACAAGCTCCCACACACTCAAAACAGGGTGAGTTTTCCCAGGAGTCAATTAACCTGCCAGTATGTCTTTGGACTGTGGGAGGAAACTGGAGCACCCTGAGGAAACCACACAGATACTCCACACACCCCAGGAACTGGACCCATGAAACCTACCCTGTGAGGCAGGAGTGCTAACCACTGCGCCACTGTGCCACTGCCTTTCTTTTCCAATATAATCCAAGTCCTGGCTGTATTACTGACATTATTCAGTTTGTTTGTTTTACTTAAAAGGGAACTGCAGCTCCATATTTATATTCTGGAGTTAGAAAGAATCAGCATTGATGAGTCTCTTCAAACCACAATAAAAGTCAAATGAACACATTCACTTGTAAAATTTACATCACAAAATAGGCGAAATTTCCAGGTATGCCCAGTGCCATATTCTGCAGTTCAGAACAAGGCAACAAAACCTCCGGTGACGTAAAGCAGTTCTATGACATAGCGTACAAGCTGGCTTGTGAATATATCTCTTCTAATCCAATAGAAATATTGCTCTCGATTTCAAGACGGTTTTGGCGAAGTTAACGTTTGGACATTTCTGCAGTGAAAGGTCTGGTGTACAACCTATATGTATTCGCTTGTACATCACACTACATTAATCGCTACGGAGACTAGTGATCGGGAAGGGCCGCATCACGTCACAATTCGGGGGAACTCTTGCCCTCACCCGTGCTGAGACCAGGGGTTTGCAACAACAGTGGTGACTTACAGTAATTTGATAAAGTTCATGATTTTGTGCTTAATTCAAAATTTGAATTAGACATTTTCTATAACATCATGGAATTTATTTTGTTACTGAGATTTAATAACTGGTCTGAGAAATTGGGACTGCAGTTCCCCTTCTATATCAGTCTTCTCTGCTTCATGTTTCTGTGCTGATACCTAGTGTTTTGGCATGATGTGCTGAGCCCTGCTGCTTTATTTCTGCATTGGGGTATCTAGGGCTCACTGGCTGATTCCTGCCTCGTCCCTCAGCCAGGCATCTGACCCTCAAACATCCTGGTTATTTACAGGTGTGATGAGCAGGGGTTAGTGGTCTGGATTCGTGCCTATCAGGGGCTGGAAGGTTGCTGGTTCAAATCCTGTGGCTGGCAGAGGAATCCTACTCCATCTGACCCCTGAGCAAGGCCCTTAACACCAAGTGCTCCAGGGGCGCTGTACAATGGCTGACCCTGCGCTCTGACCCCAAGCTTCTCTCCCTGTCTGTGTGTCTCATGGAGAGCAAGCTGGGGTATGCGAAAAGACAAATTCCTAATGCAAGAAATTGTATATGGCCAATAAACTGATTTTATCTGCCAGGTTGTGTGTTCAAGTCCCCACTGCGGATACTGCTGTTGTACTTTATGCTAGTTGCTCCAGTCCACCCTGCTGTAGGGGGAATCCTGTGATGGGCGATGGACTAGCAGGGGGGTCGTGCGCTCTCAGGTCACCTATCACAGCAGAAACCAGGCACTGCTCCGTCCTAATGAGCCTCTTGGCCTTTTTTCTGTGTGTCGAGCTGAGAGGTGTGACCCCCTGGGGCAGCTCTCTGTAATAAAGTGAGAATTGTCGGCAGATTTTTTTTTACTTGCAGAGAGATTTGTCTTTTCTTTCAGCTGCCGCGGGTGCCTGGCTCCCTTGCTCAAATCGGCACATTGACGAGGTGTTTGCGGTGGAAGGCAGCGCATCAGCATTAAACAAATCAACCCATCTTCCGTTCTCTCGGCTCTCTGGCCCCCAGCCATGAACTACTCCTACCTGTGTGCGCACCCTGCCTCTCACCCTTTCCCCAGCCCGTACAGCGCTGCCACCAGCCCTCCCACCTGGCTGGATCACGGACCCTTCCTGCCACCCATCCACGGCTACCCTCCGCGACCCTTGACCCTGGTCTCGCAGGACTGGGGGGGCGGACACGTGGAGTACCATCACTTCTACGGACTGAACCCTCTGGCCCTGCTCAGCCCGTACTGGCCCTGGCCTTACTCACAGCCCGCCCGGCCCCAGGGCTACGGGCCGGGCCGCTCGCAGGCCCAGATCGAGGGCAGCTGGCCGGAGGGCTTCACCCTGAGGGGCGAGCTGCGCTGGGGCAAGCTGGACAGGGTGTACGGGCCCCGCCGGGAGCTGCCCGACTTCGTGAAGGAGGACCTGCGCAGGGTGTACGGCACCTACCCCCGCACCGACCTCTGCGTGACCTTCCAGGGCGGGGAGTATGTGGTGCGCGGAGACCCCAGGGTGGGCGAGCAGGAGTACAAGGTGGAGAAGAAGGTGATGCGGCAGGTGGAGACGCCGGAGGAGGGCAGTACCAGTGAGACAGCGGAGAAGAGGAAGAAGCAGAAAAAGAAGGCAAAGTAGCGAGGCTGGGTGGGCCGAAAGCATGCGTTTTTTATTAAGGGGTTAGGAAAGGTTTTCCCATCTCCAGCCTTCGGGGGCGGGGGGGGGCTAGAATCCGGCCAGTTTTCCATGTCTCCTTAATTTATAAACAGCTCATCACGTGGGAGAACTGTCAAAGTTATCCAGTTCGGGTTTAACTAGATTAATTCATCCTGTGTCCACCGTACTGAACTGCTGATGATTTTAAAGAGGCACGGAAAACCAGCTGGAGTCTGGACCCCAGGGACCAGAGATGGGAACCCCTGGGTTAGACAGACACTGACTGATGTGATTCACGCTTTCGGCTGAAGAGCAGTCGCAGGACTGTGTCTTGAATACTTCATCCTCCAGGAGAGAATTGAAAGAAACTGCTTCAGCTGGTGAGAGAGGAAAGGAATTCTTCTGACATCTTTCGTTTAAGGTTTCTTTTGTTGTCATTAATTATCCTCAAAATGTGGTTGCAGTTTTTTCATGCAGGCTGAGCATGAGGCTCACTGGTTTGAGCCTTGAAGCCCTGCAGGCCAGACATCACTGGTTTGAGCCTTGAAGCCCTGTGGGCCAGACATCACTGGTTTGAGCCTTGTTGAGCTGCGTGTCATTAGCTAACTGACTCTCCCAGAGAGAACAGTGAAACACAAACAAGAGGACAGGAGTGGAAACTATGTAAAAATGCATTTCAAACCAAGAACAGGAAGTACTTTATTTACAAAAAGGGTTGTGAGAGTGTGGAACAAGCTTCCCAGCTTCATTGTGATGTATACATCTTAGCATCATTAAAATAACATAAAGGTTAACACACAGTGAGGTCAATACATTAGCATTTCCTAGTAAAAGGTGACATCATGTGCATATTAGACACTGGGAAAGCATTACTGTGCTGTTTGTTGCCTGTCAGTTTATATCACATGGAGTCAATTCAGCTGTAAATTTTGGCAGAAGATGTTAACTTGGTGTTCTGGCCTGGATCATGCAACAGAGGATGCTGTGTTTGAGGCCTGCCATTTTGTGCTTGCTATTGTGCCAAATCAGTGTTACATCTTGTCCTGAAGCTTCTCCTTTCAATGTATCAGTCTTGAAAAGGGCAGAAAAGTGGTTTGTGTTTTTTTACGGTTTGGTTGTGCCATAACAACTTCAATTATGCTGCTAGTGATTGTTCCTTCCGTGGCATTTTAGTGATGACATGGGTACTTTGTAGCCTTTGTCAATTATCAGTTTTCAAAAGAGGCTTTTCCTTAGATGCTCAAAGGCTGTTTAACACCATACACTCAGTATTCAAGGCCAGATCTATAGCACAGGTACCTTGAAAGAGTATTCACAGCCTCTCAATAGTCTCCCATTTTGTGAAATTACAAAATGATGCATACACATTTTTAAACTTAATGTTTTTAAACTCAATGCTTCTGAAATGGAAGAATTCTAAGCATAATATAAGTTACAGTAAATGTCAAAACGACTAAAGAGAAAGAACCATTCCACTCAGCTACAAGTCTTTTGGGGTACGTCTCTACCAACTCAGCACACTGGCTCGATGCCATTTCTTTCCATTTTTCTTGGCAGATTTATTTAAGCTCTCTCAAGTTGCTTGGGGATCATTAATGGACAGCTGTTGTCAAGTCAGGACTTTTACTTGTAACAGTCAAGGACGTTCAACTTTTGTGTTCTTAACCCACTCACTGTAGCTATGGCCTTGCACTTTGGGTCACTTTCTCTTGCTGAAAGGTGAATTTTAGATCTTCAACAGGCTCTCCTGTGGGATTTGCCAGCACTTGACTCATTCTACAGTACGTTCCCATCAGCCTAGACGAGCTCCTCACATCTTGCTGATGAGAAGCGAAACCATGGGGGTCCCCAGGCCTGGTTTTGTGCGCCCCTTGGTCGACACCTGTGATATTAGTAACGGCTATTGTGCACTGTAGGTATCAATGGAAGTGTACCTTTTTAAGTCTAGTGAACTGTTAACATTTCTTCAATGCTTCATATTGACAAATTTCCACAAGATGGGTGCCTGATTAGGCCACCTAACATTAACATTATTGAACAAACTCCAAAGTGTAAACGTGCTTTTGCCTTTTCTTCTATCAAAAAAATAAAATGTGTAAATGCAATGTATGTACAATAAAGAAGGGTGTAACTCCAATTCCTTTTTATGGGCTATTGTTTTTTAACTTATATGTGGTGTTACAGATAATTTCATATTTTTAATAAATATTAAACAGGTTGTTATTTATTTGCTATATTACACTTAAAAGATTTTTAGGGTGAGATTTAGCAATCTGCGATATGTTAAGGTTCTTGTCGCCAAGAGAGGTTGTTGATGAAAATAATACAGGCTGGGAAGTGTTTTTCTCAGTAATTTAATATTTGTTATTGGACACTAGCAGGTAGGAAGTAATGCTAAGCTCTGTTAAAAGTACTGTGGATGTCTGTCTGAACATGTGAGATGAAGATGTAAACAAGTGAACTAATGCACAAAGGTTTCACAATACAAAATGGAATATTTATAGTGAACACAACAGCTGTATAGTTATGCTGCGTTCTGTTGGCTATGATTTCTACTGCGACATAACTGTATCCACTGCTGCTGACTGTTTTAACTACATAAGAAAAGTTACAAACGAAAAGGAAACACATCTGGCCTTTTGGTAGTCAGTAGCTGACTGATGGCATAGTTTCGCCCAGCTGTTTGTTATGCATCTCTGTTAAGGATTGGCACTTCAGTGGCAATTTCCCAGTTCCTGGTTACTACCTAAAGATGCCATCAGACCCTGGGGATTTATTCATCATGAGTGTTTCCAGTATCTGAAATACTTCACACTTCACTGATACTGTCTGATACAGAACTCTGTCCTTCCTCTGCCTGAGGCCTGTTGTTGACTTCTTCCTCAGTGAGCACCTGAGTGTAATACTTGTTTAGTGTCTCAGCTGTTTCCCTTCCATTGTTTCGAAGTTTCCCATCATTGTCCGTGACTCAAATTGAAGATCTGTTTCAACTTTCTGTTCCAAATCAGAAAATTTGAATAGTTTCGGTATCACAACAAATAGCACAAAAATAGGCCAATAAAAAAGGCTGCGATATGCCAAAGGGCATTTGAAAAAAAAGGAACAGGTGACTCACATTTCAAACTGCACCTTTGTTTGTTATAGGTCGTTTCCTTTAAAAAGTCGTCAGGAGCTGTTTTGAAGGCCCTCCTTGCATTTGCTGTTTCAAACGGGACCGGAAACACATCACTGGAGCTGCTGCTACACTGCAAAGAGAGGAGACTCAGGCTCTTCTGGCTGGCGGACGGTAGTGTAATTAATTACAAGTGTAATTTATGAGAGCAGTGTAAAATCTCCCTTCTGGAATTCCGGTCTGAGCCAGCCAATGACAAAGCCCAGTCTGAAAGCAGTGACACCACAGGGCTTGACTGGTGCTCTGATAGGGGACCTCCTCTACCCGATAGAGCCTTGAAGACACGCCAATTGTCAATAAGGTTGAAACCTAGCAGCCGTCGCTGTTTGTTGCCTGTTCGTTGCTGGAAGACTTCTGAACTCAAGCGGAACAGCTTCAACCCCGGAGGGCCAGAAGGTTTCTGGTTTTCCTTCCGCTTGAGTCCTTTGTGGCCTAGTTGGACTCGTTAATCGTTTAATCGGACAAGTTCAAGTGTTTCCTTATTCTTGAGAAGCTAGAGGTTCAAAGAGAAATGTAAAACCTGCTGGACAGCAGCCCTTAAGGAGTAGTGCTGGGCTCTCCTGTTTGTGAAAGTCTTCAGTATGGATCATTCCCTGTGTGAGCCCGATTACTGATGTTCCTCAAGGGGGCCCTTTGTGTGTGCGACTGCTGTCCAGCATACAGCCAGCATCATGGCGCTTGGGAAAGCTACTTGATATCTACCTTTCTCTGTTGCAGTCTGCATTTTCTGTACTTCTGTTGCTTCCTATATATTACAGAGCTATTATCACTTTGTTATGTGTGGTGTTTAGTGGGGCCAGTAGGGGCCACTCACCCCGCTGTCTGTGTGGGTCCTAATGCCCCAGTATAGTGATGGGGACACAATACCGTAAAAATGGCACCATCCTTCGGATGAGATGTAAAACCGAGGTCCTGACTCTCTGTGGTCATTACAAATCCCAGGACGTTTCTCGAAAAGAGTAGGGGTATAACCCTGGCATGCTGGCCAAATTTCCAATTGGCCCTTACCAATCATAATAACAATTATTATTATTAAAAGATGTATCATATGTATGTACTCTGTCGGACAGGACAGGACTTTTAATTAATTACCTTAATTAAAGGGTAAGGAATCCCATTAATGATGCAATGTACATTTCTTTGATGACAGCTGTACGTTGGAAAATCCAACAGAAACTGTGCAGCACAACAACGTGTCCCACCTGGTAACTGTGTTTGATAAGATCTGGACCTGTGTGTCGTTCTAGTCATGCCAGAGCTAGGTAAGACAGTTATGCAAAGGAAACCTTATCAACTGACTGTTTAAACATCACATCGCACACAGCAGTGGTGCCATTCAGGGAGAGGGGTTACGTCAAGAGATGTGAACGATGAGTTATGCAATCAGACAAACAAGGGAGTCTCCCAGAACCAGCGCTGCCCTTTGACCGTGTCTGAATGCGGCTTTACCCGGTGCCTGCTGCTGCACACGACTAGACAGGGCAACATCGGAAGCAAAAGACTCCTTCAAATGATTTTTCATTCGTTCGTGGGCCCAGACACTGTCAGGGAGCCGTTGAATTCTGGAGACGAATGGCTCAGTGGAAGAGCGTGGCATAATTTCCGCTGTTCCAGGCAGTAGAGGAGTGAACACTGAGATCTACAGTGGGAAACTAAAGGTAGATCTGACTTTTGTGGGTAGGAAATGAAAAATATCAACAACTGATCCAGAAACTCTTTATTAGGTGCATGCAGGCAGGGGTCCTCAGACGTCTTTTCACCAAGTGGTCAATTTGAAAACGGCTGTTATAAAGTATTGGCTGGTTGTCACGAACTACATTCCTACGAGCACCTCTCACCGCCAACACCCGCGCACTAATTAATCATTTGTCATTCCTCACGCTCTTCCCTATTTACACCCTCTCACTCCACTCACTCCCCGCTCACTATTGAGAATAACTCTTGGCTTTCTCTGGTGCACGTAAACTACTCTCGACCTGACTTTTGGCTTCCCCACCTTGTTTCCTCCTGCTCTCATTTTCGATTTGGATACTCTCGACCTGTCTCTTGTGATACCTGAAAAAGCTCTTCTACCTCGACTACGACTTTTGCCTGTTGTCATTGGGATTTGGACGCCAATCACTAGCTACTACCTACAGTCTCAGCGCCGCATAGGGTCCAACCAGGTTCTCCTAACGCCACCCTTGACACTGGTCCCTTAAAAGCATGAAAACAAGGGTGCCTGCCTGCTGTTCTTGAGCAATGATCAGCTCATGCACTCCTCACACTGCCTCGGGAATTCGGTCTTCTAGACCAGGGACAGACAAGTTCAAGCCTCAGGAGCCAGAGTCTTGCAGGTTTTCCAAGTGATTGGCACAGCTACAAGACCTGAAAACGTGAGTTGACACAGGTCCTCTCAGAGACCACAATCTGGGCCCTTGATCTTTTTCATCGCTGGGAGGAATACAGACAGATGCACGTGTCTAAAGAAGAAAAGTTGCCCCTCAGTGGTAACTTTGTCACCAGACCTGACTGAGTTGGCCATGAAGCACAGGCTATCAGTACACAGCCTGATGGACAGCAGTTTGTTTTATTGGTCCATTTCATAGTGATGTTTTTTTGCATCAATGTATCACTGAAAGCAGTATATACAGTAATTTACATCAGGACCGGCTACCTCTTGTCCTGGAGAACCACAATCCAGTAGGTTTTACAAATCACCCTTAAGTCATCAATTTCTAAACACTTTGAACAGTTCCATTGCTGAAGGTTTCAGTGAACGTGCCATCACCACTTTCCTGGCTATTCCTGACTGAAATTAACCAATTAAATTAAAAAGTCACACAGTTTACAGAGTCTTCATAAAGTGATTTAGGGGTGATTAGGTGTGACTCCTAGGAGTCCTACTGCTTTATGGCTCTCCAGAAACAGAGTTGGCACCTCTCCCTTATGCCATATCCTTTCTGAAAGGTTAATAGGATATTTGTAGTTTTTTCAGCTACGAACCCATCAGAGTTTCAGATGGGTTTGGTAACATTTGCTCTTCTCTACGTGTTAGCCTTTCTCAGAAGGTTTGGAGCCATGGGAATCGTTTTGCTCTACTGAAGCAGCTCTCTTTGCATCAAAAGGAACATCAAAGGGTGTTTCTAATAATTTATTAAGGTTAATTAATTAACTTCACCCTTCTACCCTCAATCCAACCCTCCTGGATATCTGTGGCACTAGGCAATTGTCCAGGGTCCCAAGCTTTGGTGGGCCTCAAAGGACTAGCTTGGATCATGTTTACAGTGTTGTGAAATAGAAGGAACAGAACCACCAATACTGTCAATCTATTTATCTATTGCATGCATTTCTCAAATCACAGTAGTATGTAGACCAAAAGACTTCACACAAAAGTACTTAGACACACAAACATATCAAAGAAAATCTCATCCTAGCAGGAGCTGGTCCAGGAACGTAGAGACTGAATCCCCATTTTATCGAACAGCTTTTCTCTCAAGATGAAATTTGTCCCCAGAGATCATCAACCTGGGTCAGGTCAGAGTTGCAGAAGGCTTAAACCAGAGCTTTAGAGCCTTCCAGCAGAACTTTACAATGTATTGTATTGACGTCTGCAGGGAAATCAAGATGAAGCTAGAATAAATGGTGTTCAGCTAGCTCTTGAGCTTGCATTCTGACACCGCCATTGGTACTTTCAGTCCTCCCAAAGGTACTGTCACTGGAATCCTCAAAAGCTCTGCAGTATGTTACCACAAAACACATCCCGAATGCCCTTTCTGTGAAGGTAGCATTCCAAAACCAGTAGCAGTTGTCACCGCTGAGTAGCTAAAGGAGTTGTCCCCCAGTCAGTGGGGTGTCATGACACCTGCGGTCAGCATGCTGTCCCAGCCCGCCGACTTTGAGCCTCAGACTACAAGAACTGAAGCCATAGATGGGCTACTCAGTGGGTCACCATCTATGGAATTCAGTTCTCACAGCCAAGAGCTCCTTTGTCTCCGGAGAACTTCTTCCAGACCTCCACATTTCCCTGCAAACAAAGCGGGAGCAGGCGATTAACTTCTCCGTAATTTCATTAACAATGAGATGGCTGCAGTTTATCAACAGTTGAAATAACCACACAGACTAAACAGTTACTTCATATTTTAAGAGCCATCTCTCCATCTTAAATCTCCAAACTCTATGGATTATGTGAATCTGACTCTCTGACTGTGTGCGGCACAGCATCCCAAATTCGTGGAATTCTGTGACCAAACTACCCACACTCATGTATTCCACTTAAAAAAAGCTCAGTGTTTAAAAACATGAAGATCCCCATCTCCACCTCAGATTCCATACTACTTACTGTGTGTCTATCAGCAAAAACTGATATTAGTTTTGAGGGAACAGCAAGTTCAGACAAGATGGAAGCTCTGGCCTGAACTACATTACCCAGAATGCAGGATACATAGGCCACTCTCAGCCTACATTTCAATTGGGGAGATGACGATTGATCAGGTGAAAATTTAAAAACCAGAAAGCTGAGACTTCCAGGTAGCTCAAAATGGACTTTTTGGAGACAGACAGATCCTCTGATGTGCAATTTTGATTTGCACAATTCTAATCGTGGAGCTTGGTTTTGAAAGAGATCTTGGAGATGGAGAGACGCTTGGTTTTACAGGAGCTGTCTGGCAAGTGAATAGAGAGGGACTGAAGATGTCTATTTAGTAGGTTATAAACGAGCTTAGGCTTTTTGTGTTTTTTGGTTTTTTGAGTGCTTTCCCTGCACTATAAATAAAGAGCATTGAATTTGTACTGTATGGCTGTATTTGTGTATGCTTCCCTAAAACCCGTCTATTTAAAGCATCGCGGCACACCACATTGCCCTCGGCTGTGTCACATAGTATGATCATGTTATCAAGAGCTGAGGGAACTGGCGCTGAGAGAACTCTTCAACATTGTGTTTCCCTCTGGGCAGTGTCTGCCGGGTCTGTGAAGGTGTTGGCTGCTCTGGCCCTTCAGTCTAATTAGGGAGAACTCGTTACCTGAGGCCGCAGGGCGTGTCAGCAAGCAGCCCTTCGAACACACTGAGTTGCTCTGCTTTTCTGATGATATTGCTGCTGGTTGATTGAATATTGATCAGGTATGAAGCAGTGGTTGGAGCACCGTACCACCAGATAGGGGAATTCAAGGGCTGCAGGCTGAGCGGTCCTGCCTTGCTGGGCACTGCAGTCTTCACCAATTGCAATATGAAAGATGGCAATCTTCTTAAAACAGTTCAAACACACTTCTGGAGGCAAGGAATAAAGGGAAAATCCTGTGTCCTTCTGCAGCTCCTGGCAGGGAATCAGCTACCCACCAAGGTTGTGCAGATACCAGGTATCTTTCCCCCACCGTCACACACATCTCAGGGCTCTGTCTTCCACACTGCTCCTGAGAGCTTCCCTTTTATCTGGTATACAGTATATTTACACACATTACCACATTATATAACCCTTACCAGGCCAGCAGGGTGGTACAGTCTTTTTCATTGTTGCTGGGCAGTGCTGGTGCCCTGGGTTCGGTTAGGGACCTGTGTGGAGTTTGTACATTCTCCCTGTGTTTACATGGGGTTCCTCCCATTGTTCAAACACATACTGGTAGGTTAATCGGCTTCTGGGAAAACTGGTGACGGTGTGGGTGTGTGTGTCTGTGTTTGTGTCAGTCTGCCCTGAGGAGGGCTGGCATCCCACCCAGGCTGTATCCTGTCCTGTGGTCCCTGCTTGCTGGGATAGGCTCCAGCTCCACTGCAACCCTGGACTGGATAAAGAAAATGGAAGGATAATCATCCTTACTAAGCTGCTGTGGTTGAAGTATCAGGTCAATAATAAACCGTAACAGACAGAACAGCAGATAAACCAGGTGTGATCGTGGTCAAGAGCCAGGACAGAAAACACTCCTGGAAGGGAACACAGTCGTTCCAGGTGTGAGAAGTTAAAGTTATCCATTTGGACATTTTGGCATAAACCCTTAGATCAGGAGGCTCTAGCTGTCATGATTGTAGTGCCTCCTCCGTCTCTTTCACATTTTTGTTGATTCCGTGCACCTGCCCCCTATCTTGCCCCTCCTTGTTTAAGCCGGACGCTCTCGCTTCTCCCGGCTCTGCATTGGAAGATGGACGCCCGGAGGCCCGGCTACCACCAAGTCGCCCTACGGCTGCGGCTTGAGGGCCTAGGCCTCCTATCGGCGCCCTGACCCAGCTGAGTCCGGGGGTCAGAGCGCCTGGCCTCGTCGTGCTGTTTTCATTCCCTGTCCCTGTACCGGATCCCGTTCCGGTTTTTAACTCTGTTTTGTCCCGTCTCGGTTGGGTCACCCGGTTTTGGACTTTTGAACTTCGCCCAAGATTTCCCCCCTGGACTCCTTGGACTTGTTTGCCCTGGCTACGCCCCCCGAGCACCAGTTCGCCATCGTCACGCCCTCCCTGTGTGTCAACCCCTCCTGATCCTTGCCGTCTCCTCCCCGTCATCCTTTTCCACTTACTTCCGGATTATACCGTCTGCATAGGGTCCAGAACTGTTACAATAACCCAATCCAATTCTTATAAGTCACCGTAAAGGGCTTGTTATTTAATGATGAGGTACACTTACAGTAATAGTTATAGTTGGAATGTTCCAGAAATTTATGATTTAAAAGCTACTGATGAAACCTGCCAGAATTTGAATTTATGCATGTTAATTTGTGACTCTTTCCAGATTCTGGGCTCTTCTCCTTGAGGATGTTTTGATCTGGACTGTGAGTTGTGAAATCTCTACCTGTTTACTTGCCAGTAACTGGGATTGGAGGCAGCTGGTATATGCTGCCTGGTATTGAGGTGGCCTAGATATATGCAGGACACCCCTAGTACTGGAGACCCCAAAAGACTGTTGCTGACTTGTTACTGAGCATAGATGGTGCTGAACAGTTTATATTACACAGCATTTAAACTCAAGTAAGCAGCAAAACCTCTAAAATTAATGTCCACAGGGATTTGAAGCCATACAGGGAACATTTCCAGAATGTGGTAATTTAAGGCTCATTTCTTAAAACGTTGTGATTCGTGTTGCCTCTCTCTTGACAAAACAGTCAGTGATTCTGAATGAACACGAAAACTTGTATTGGTGTCTGTTGTATCCGATGTCTTTGAAAGGATTCACAGGGTTAAGAGCTATTCGAAAGTCCTTTTGAAAGTGAGAAAGTGCTGTTTTGGGATACAGTGAATGGCAGACAGCCTGTTAGCAGAACCTCGATGGGGTTAAAACACACTTCCTCTGTTAATCTACTCCCTCTTCTCTGTTGGAGTGCCGGTTTTGCTTGTCTGTGACGTGGTTTACAGTTAATTAGTTTCGAGGGAGTGCTACAAACCCTGAATAAGCCCGCTGTCAGAGTCATACACAACAGCTTTACATAACTCTTGCCCCTTTACAAATGGCTTTATGAGGCCATTGGATCAAGTTTTTAGGCACCTATAGAAATGTGTGTTACCATCCCTAACTACAGTATTACTTGTACTGAAACGTCTGTGTAACTATACTCAACAATGTGTTTTCCAACTGGATATATCCCTCCTCCCCTTGGACAGAGTTATATTGTAGCGCATTCGCCTGGCGCTGTGCCTGAGGAGCGCCCGGCTGGGGTACGCGGTGAGGGGCAGGATGGGAGTAGTAGTGGTCAGGGCGGGGACGAGGAAAGCTGCTGACCAGTGCAGCTGACCCACTGCGAAACAGGCATACAGTGTGATGAGATCGCCCGCATTCTTGTAAATAGTCCCCTGGTTTCGCACCACTGTTATACTTGTATCCAATTGACACCCTATCCCTGTGTAGGTACCCGAATAGACCCCAGTGTGTTGCTCTCTCTCACGTCTCTCGCTGGCGCTTGCTCGTTCTCTCATTTTCAGTCAGTCTTTTTCTCTGCTGGCGTGCGGGCGCAGGAGTGCTGTGCTGGCTGTACCGAAGTTCAATAAAAGCGCTGTTTTCTTTACTCCACGAGTGTCTGAGTCACGGAGTCCGTCCTCGCCGAACCCGAAACTATTACACTGGTGTCAGAGTGGGATGGGATAGCCCTTCGCCGAGGATGGCCAATTAAGTGGGGAAGAGTGTAACGCATACGGCCACCATTGCAGGTTGTTCGAGCCAGCATACCAGCGTGGTAACGCCACCGCCACTCCCTGTGAATAGCAGGGACCGCAGGCGTCGGGCTGAAGGGAGATTTCCCTTTAGCTCAACTGGCTGGGTCCCTGTTGAGTGATGCTAAAAGCCTGGGTTCAAGTCCCCAGCGGTGGGGGGCCAACCTGAGGCGGCAGCAGTGAGAGTGCATACCCACATGAACATGAGATCGCTACAATATTATCCAACAGGACAGTAGACACTGAAGCTAGGCCTTACAAAAATGAAGACGTTTTCCACGTCCATCCATCTGGTACAGGGTTGCAAGGGAGTCAAAGCCTATCCCAGCAAGCAGGATGAATAAAAGTTCCCTGTTTATTCACTGACACCAGGCATTTATAGGGCACACAGAGACACAAACACACACACTCAAAGCAGGGCAGACCTATTGGTTTGTTTTTAAACTGTGGCAGGAAACCAGAGGAAACCCACACAAATATGGGGAGAACATGCAAACTCCACACAGATAGTACCACAGGTCCAAATTGAACCCAGGGCCCCTGTGCTGTGAGGCACCAATGCTGACCACTGCACTACCATACACTACCCAGTGTTTTATTTGTCTGGGAAAAAAACTCAAAATAATTGTGATCACCCATCTAGACACAGAAACTGATATGTCAATAAAATACCACCACCACAAGGTTCACGAAACAGAAGTGCCCAGGTCCTGCAAGAACCTTAATCCAGCCCTTTCAAGAGGGATATTGGTGCCTTAGATATGTCTGCTTTATTTTTGAGGGTGAAACAACAACACAAAATGGGAAATTGCTTTTATGCCCCTCTCTGTAACAGTAAAGCACGTCTCTCGCGGTCACACCTGAAGCAGACACCCCCCCGACGCCTCCCCGAGACAGGGGGGAGACTGTCGCAAGGAAATAACCGAGGAGAGGAAGCTGAGCGGCTAGCTCAACTGAAGTAACACAGAGCAAGAATCACGACTTGATTGTTTCACCGCTGTTTTGAGCACTGTGGTGGGCGGGAGGGGGCAGTGCGGCTAACCTCATCCCACACAGGCAGGAGTGGCGGTTTTTTCCCGGAGAGCGAATTGGAGAAACGTTTCGCAACGGCTGTGCGGAGTGTCACCAGCGAGTGAGTGAGCGGGGCCCGACTCAAGCGGTATGTGCTGAGTCACGCTTCTGCAGAAAAGCATGACAGGACGGACCTGCGGGATGAGTCAGTGGCAGGGGTTCGGGGGAAGGCTGTGAGATTGCCGCTGGAGGAAGTGCGCTGCTCTCGGGGCCTGAGGGCGCCGCAGCTGCCCCCGTCTCCTCTCCTGCCCAAGGCGGCAGGCTTTCTTCACCTCCGTAACTGCCGTCATACCGCACAGTGTGTAGCTTTATGCAAAGTGCATTTTTTTTTCTCTTCGTAGTAATAAGATAGTGATCTAAGATAAAAAAGGTACGTGATAATCAAAAGTGAGGAGTGCAAGTAGCATAAGACAAACGCTACATAAGTCCATTATTATGTGTATTTTGCGGAATTAATTTAAAGCACACGAATTTCAGGTGATTTGCGGGAGACAGCACAGTAAATGGATTAAAACGGCCGGTAACGTCCTGCCCAACACCACTGACGATTGCTCAAGGCAGGAGTAACGGATATTATATTTATGTACGCAGTCGGGATGTGGCTGTAAACCTGAAAGAGGTAGAGTAACAGGCTGGATTCTTGCCAGTTGAACAAGGGGAGCGTGCATCATCAGACACAATCGCAGGCCTTTAGAGAATGGTGTTAGGAAGCCCAACCGAAGTCCTCATACAAGACAAGACTTTAGACAGTACAAAAATAAACACATTATTTATTGTGGGGTGTAAATGAACAGTGTTTTATTAACCAGTGGTTCAACATGAAAAATAAGCCAATTAACTGGTGTGGAACTGCTCTACCTTTCTGTGTGGATAAACATGTCACATCCCTGACTCCCAGCTCCGTTCAGGATTTGTGAATTCCCTCTGCCCTCCTTATCTCCACTTCCTTTGTGTGCCTCTCACTGGAATTCCCTGTGGCATGCAGTGTCCTTATTTACAGGAGAATCTTTTTGCGAGCTATTTCAGGCACAGAAATAAATGTACCCATTTTTTAGGGTAGTGATGGGAAATTCATGTGCAAATGCAGTAAAAGTCACGCAGGGTAGAGACAACACACACACACACACACATATATATATATTATCACAAGACAAGAAAAGTGCTTTGTCAGTTGTCCTAGTTTCTATCTGTAATTACACTGGGAGCTTTTTATCCCTCTATATGAAGCCACGCAACAGACGACAAAGTTTGTGTACTTTGCAATGCTATTTCAGTTAGTCCATTTCTCTGTCCTGCTGTTTTAAGTCGGCCCCCCCTGACACGCTGGTGGAAGTACACACCTGTGCTTCCTCGTGCCAGCCATGGAGCAGCCACTCCTGAGATGGTGCTCTGGTCATTTCATGAACAGGAGCTCACGCTGACTGGCACAAATCGAGCTGTGTCTCCGGTCATAGAGACCCCCCCTGCTCCGCTGACTTGGGAACTCACGTCACCTCCTTCTACACTTCTTGAGAACGCAATACATTTTCCTTGTCACTGCAGGAAACAGCGCATTTCTTTTCAATTTAAATGGCAATGGCCGAGCATAATACTCATACTCTTCAAAAATGATAACACCCAAACGCAACGAAAACTGCAGCTCAGAAGCCTCTGCTCAGCTGCAAATATTAAAAACATCCTGACTTAGATACGCTGGTCTCACTGGCTTCTTTCCACCAGAACTGACACTTTTAAACATCCAGCGTCCCCCACCAGAATGGATCAGTCTTTCCTGGGCATTTCATATAAATGTTGGTTACATTAACCCAGCGATCCCTGGTCCTGGAGAGCCCCCGGGCCAGCAGATGCCAAGTCATCGATTTCTAAAGATATGGAACTACGCTATTTGGATCACGTAAACAAGCGATTTGTTAAATTCCATAATTTCTTTCATGTCACTTAGGCTGAAATCTAAATCCTTGGCCCTCGAAGGACCAGAGTTCTCTTAATTAAACCTCTAACGTGTTTTATTTATCAATAAGTTACAGCTAACCTGTGCGACTAACTGGATGGAGGCCCCCCAGGCCCAGGGTTGGAGACCCCTGCTTTAACCTTTGTAGGTCCGCATTACCAATAGACAGTTTGAAAAGAGATTCGGAAGCTGGATACAGTTTGCTTACCTCAGACCAGGAAAGCAAGCTGAGTGTAGCCCAGAGTTTCTCTCCCCTGACCCCTTCTTGAATCGACTGAAAGGTGCCGCCTTACCTGGGCCGGCTCTCCTGGATCTCCAGCCTCCGAGCCCGTCGAGCAGATCCTCCGCATCCCGCGGACGGGCTCTCTTAAATAGCACCCCTGTCCGGCTCAGCCCTCCATCTGCCTCTCGCTCACTGCCTGCCTCTCTTTTAGTGCGGTGAGTCCAGCAGTCACTTCCCAGTAAGGAGGAAGGAGTGGGAGGGAATCTCCCTCCCCCGCACCGTGAATCAATACTGAGCTCTTCTGAGGAAAAAACAGCTGACTGGCTCTGCCCTCAGTTCCCATAAAATGGAAACCAAAAAAAAAGAAAAAAAAGGACTCTCCTACTGTTGGTGAGAGAGCGAGGAATTCCCCTATTGCTTAACAGCAGTAGACGAGAGCAGAAAGGCACCTTGCTGAGGCGCTGTGTGTGACAGGCAGTGGGAGAGCAGCGTGTGTGTGTGTCTGGGCATGAGTCTAACCTCACTTTCTGCGAAACTGAAAATAGAAAAGAAAACCTTGCGACCGCTTGCGTCCTGACGCCCCCCCATGATTTCGAGACCTTGAGCTTAAAGGCTGTGTCATCTTTTTTTCAGAGCTGTCGCAAAGGCCAACTGGCTTCTGGAAGAGGCTTCTGGCACTCGAGCTCAGCATGGCCGGCCTTCGGTGCGGTGAGGGCAGAGGCCACTTCAAGATGAGCAAATGTAGCGAAGATGTTCTGGGCCGCCTCCCAGGATGATGCTCAGTGCCTCGGGACAGAAACTTGCAGGCAGCTGCATGAGAGCCTGCATGAACCAGACGCTTCTGTGTTTGTGCCTCCTCTGTTTTGGGCTTGGTGTTGTGTCAGGTGGAGGGTTTCTCTCTGCTGAGACTGCACAATGTACTAATAGCACTAACAGCAGGTACCCTCACATAAGGGTCTCTATAGGATCCCCCAAACACATATAGGAACCCCCTTCTTAACACATTTGATGCTGCTATTATACAGTTGGTTGTACTATTTCATTTTGGGTGGAAATGTGGCACCAATTACAGAAAAAGGCCTTTTCTTTGCAATCTGCTGCAGTCGGACATAAAGGGATTCAAATATTTAGGGATCATCCTGGGGCCTTGGGCCTGGGGCCTTTTTATTTGGTGTTCTTCTGGCTGTTTTGAAATGTGCTGCCCACATTTTCTGTCAACATGAATTGGCCCTCATGGGCTCAGTTACTCTTAGGTGTCTCTCCAGCAGGGACAGAATGGGAATTACTCTGTCCTCCTGACCACTTTGAAGCCATGAATTTGAATGTCCCCTTCAGCTGTCCTTCTTCTCTCATGCAGGGTGAGAAACAGTGACACGGGCTGTCCTGGTGATTCACCTCACAGGTGCACGGCTGAGACACTAGTAAGGCAGGCTCAAGGCTATCCCTCAATCACTAACCAGGCTGCCTCTCATTCCTGCAATATGGAGAAGGCAGCCATACCTGCCTGTGACCTTCGTGGTTGTTTTTCATTTTTAATATTGCAAAGTGGGCTTTTTGCGTTACTATGACAATAACTGTAAGCTAGTGCAGGGCAGGGAACCCCAGCTCATCCTCCGCTCTGTGGCTGCTTGAAGACCTGAAGCTTCTGATTAAAAATTAAAATGCAAGTACTTGCTGTTAATGTCATGGGTGTCAAAGTGGGAGTGAGGCAGGTACATGTCACCCAGTATGCTCTACCAAGTTTCATTACTCAACACTGTACATACTGAAACTCTCATGAGCATGTTGCGCCCTAGAAACCTTATTTTTCGATCTAGATTAATAAATGAAAATGAAAAATCACTGTTTCATATATTTCTTGCAAATTGTAATAACGTAAGTCACAATAAAAATCATCAATTGACTAACCTAGGAGAGTGAGGTCTAGTTAATTGTTTTCAGTTCTTCAAGCCGGGGAATTCAGACTATTAGCAAAATAGTCGATTAACTGTACAAAATCATCTTGGCTTTCCGGCTTGGGCTTGGGTAAGGTTTCTTCCATGATTTTCAAATTTATTTTAGATCATACCCACCCAATCCTTGAACGCCAGCTGCATGTTTTTCCTGTTTCAGCTTGCAGCTAAAAAGCAGCACATGGGGGGATTGAAGTGCAGGCAGGCTCTCCTGCGTCACTCACCTTCGAGCCGCTTGTCTTTTATCAGTTTTCAGGTTCCGCTGTCCTGGCTGGAGGTGCTTGTCCCCTGCCAAAAGCACTGCAAGACGACGAGTGTGCAGGAAGATGTCGGGGATCACTGTGTTGTCACTGTCGGTCCATCCATTTTCTAACCACTTCTTCCAATACGTGGGTCGCGGGGGAGCTGGAGCCTGTCCCAGCAAGCAATGGGAGCAACACAATGCTGGATGGGAGGCCAGCCCATCGCAGGGCACACACAGATACAATTACAGGCAGGCACACAATCATATCAAGGTCCATTTTCTCAGAAGTTGATCTATTGGTATGTCCTGGTGCTTTAATGGGAGGAAACTAGGGCACCTGGAGGAAACCCAAGCGACCACTGGGATGACATACAAACACCATGCCAGTAGCACCCCAGGAACTGAAGTCGGGGCCCCAGAATTGTGAGGCAGCAGGGCTAACCACTTTGCCACCATGCCAGCTGGGAACATAAATCCCTGGCTGTCTGTTCCGCACCTTCTTTGGGGAATAACATTCGGCTACATGAGCTGGACTTGACTCTGCGACGCCAGGCTCGTGGAGCCCAGGCAAGCCCGGCTATTGCTCATTTAAAAGTGTGGGCATCTGGGAAAATGATCAACTATATTCAATTTAAATAGCAATTAAAATACGGTCAGAATGAGTCACAGTCAAGTAGCTCAATACTCTTCGGAGTGCACACTGTAAAATACTCTTTATAGTCGGGATGGGGGGATTCCCTGGGTTAGACAGAAACAGACTAAAAATAGGAAATATGAAGCACACTTCCATTTCAGAGGCTCTCTGGCTGATCAGGATAAGCTGTGAATAATGTTTTCATGGAGTGGCAGAAATAGAAGAGTTTTTCTCTTGGCTGATTCACACGGGGGAAATTGCCCAAAAAGGTCAACTCGCCCTGTTTCCTTCATCAGCTCCCAGAAATGCTGGCCTGTAAGTTCCCCCGTGCTTCACAACCTGTAACGTTACTGGAAGACAACACGTGCTACATACTGCTGCTCTATTGATGGCAGAGTATGTAAATCGTGTGTACAGGAAACTATGAGGAAGTGAACTCCTGCGTTCACTTGTGTATAGTGTCTGCATGAAACACGCTCCCACACTGAAACCCCCAACTGATGGTAAACATACTACTTGGCCAAGGAAAGCCACAAATTGTGGTTTCGGTCAATATAAAAAAACAAAGAATGGGTAGAAAGACAGGGCACTAGGTGAAGACCCTACTGTCACATCACAGTTTATTTTAAACTCCTACTCAAGAGAAAATATTTTGTTTCATTCTGTATGTACTTCCAAAATGACTCCATTCTAATTTCTTAGGTCAAACTCAATATTACCCCCCAATAATGGCATATTATTAACAGTATATCCTGGGATAGCTCTACAATTTTCTCACTTGCTGTTGGCTTTTTCTCTAATGTCATTGTCACTTGCTGACACCTTTTCCTAGTAAAGGTCATGACCTTTGACCCTTTTTTTCTGGAGGGTGGAATTAATACACAAATAATGATTTTAACAGCAAAATCCAGGTTTTAAACACTAAATCCGACACGTCACTAACACACCATGAATTGACTCCTCCCAAAAAGACAAAAATGCATCTAAAATATAAAGTGCACATGTCATGACCACTCTCAGTTGTGTTACAGGATTGCTAAAAATTCAAAAAAAAAAATTTATCAGTATCTTCAGTTTTTAAAAGCAAGCAAATTGCATCACATTTGGGAAATTATTTTAGTTTTTAATATCAATGCTTCAAAAGAAGAAAAAGGTATTTCTGCATATTTTTCCATGCTAGTATATCTAAGACTTTCTTCCTGAAGTATCTGGCTAAATTGTAAATTCACAGGAAGTGTGCAAGTATGTGAAAGTGAATTAGTTATAAATAACTGGAGGTTAGTGGGCAAATTATCAGTTACACAGAAAGTCTATCACAAGGGTTTTAGTTTCCAGAATCAGACCACGATTGTTTAACAGGATTTTATAAACATAAGAACATAAGAAAGGTTACAAAATAAATTTGTTAGTAGCTCATTGATCCCATCCAGCCGTTTCTTGAAAGATGGCAGTGTATCAGCTTCAAGAACATTACTAGATACATTTGCTTGTACCAGACCCCCACAACCCTCTGGGTAAAGAAGGTCTTTCTGATCTCATGTTTAAATACACATCCATGTAGTTTATACTGATGTCCTTTGGTTTGTGTTTCACTGTTGGTTCTGACTATCAATGTCTGAGGATTGTGAGAATTTGTATTAGTCTTCTCTGTTCAAGACTTAACAGATCCAGTTCTTTCAGCCGGTCAGTGTAGGACACTCCTTTAAGACCTCCAATGTATCTGATTGATCTTTTCTGGCTTGATTCCAGAGCACCATAATCCTTTTTCTAATGTGGTGACCAAAGCTGTGGACATTACTCTCAGTGTGGCATCTAAACAAACTCAACTCAAAGACTGTGGGTGCTACAATCATCCATTAACCTCTCAGTTCTCAGACTGATGACAATATCATGAGTCCCTCAAACTGTGTATTTTTATTTAAAAATACAGTGATGTACCAAATGAAAATATAGTAATTCATGAATATTTGTGAAGTGGTTAGGACAGAAAGCTGGCCCTATTGGTCCTATAACTTTACAGCGAAAGAGAATAGTTCTCATTTTGCCACATAATATTACCTTGAATCCCTTTATGATTACAATGATAACCACAACTGTAGCACTAGTAATTTAGTGCGGTAGCTGTGTTAATTATTACACCCTGTACAGGTTTTCACCTTGTTTGCAAATCATATCTTTCAGTGTCAAGTACTTAACATGATCTTAAGTTTTTAGTTGTATGAAAAGATTTTGTTCTTGTATTGTGTTATCACTCACAATGCAGCATATCCAGTAATCTGGAAAAGGGACAATGTAATTTACAGAAGAATCAGAGTTAACTGAACATTTCTGGGCCACTGTAGTAACAAACAACTTCCATGTTCTCAGTAAAAGTTCAAGTTCAAGTTCAAGTTTATTGTCAGTACACTCATATACATGGTATATGGTATAACGAAATGCTATTTAGTTAGCTCTCGGACATAAGTAGTACAAAGAGAAAAAAAACGCAACAACAACAATACAATTGTGTAACAAAAGAAAGACAGAGACAACAGGCAGTGTGCAAAAAACAACAACAGACGATGTGCAAAAACAGCAACAGGCAATGTGCAAAAAACAACAACAGGCAATGTGCAAAACAACAAAAAGGTAACAGGTTATGTGCAAAAATGCATCAACAGAATAAAATAAAGGGATAGAAATTATGGGGAGTGAGCTT